GCCGGGAAATGTGAATGTTGGTGAGGATGCTCCAGACATACAACATGTTATAGCAAAGACATCTCCCCTAGGCAACATTTACCCTTATTCTGTTCAGGTAACTCTTCTGCATGTGTATCCTATGGCTGGGATAGTCTGAGCTGTTATAAGCCATCCTGCAAGTCACAGTTCTGTTTCACCCTGAGCTCTGACATGTTCTCCTGAGAGCTTGTTCCACCTTTGACCTCTTCCCCTCTCTTATCTAACAACCATTTCCCTCAAAACTACAACCTTTGACTTGACCTGATTTGACTGTCCATGCCTGAGTTGGCTCCCTCTGTCTAATCCTGCATTTCTGACTGTTTCCATAATCTCTTCCTGAACAGCGTGCAAGTCCCTCATTCTTAACATGGCAAAAACTGAGTACCTTATTCTTCCTCCTAACCCCTGTCATCTTACCTTGCTCTCCTTTGCTTTTGACAGTGTCACCCTCCCTCTCACCCAAACTTGAACCCTGGGGATCGTCTTTGACTCCTCCCATCCCAGCTGTGTCCAAATCCTCCCACTTCTTCCTCCACAACTTATCAGTTACCTGACCTTTCTCTCTGCCCAGACAACCAAAACATATTTTCAGGCCCTGAACATTCCCCATATTGACTGCTGTTACCTCCTCCTCTCTCTGGTCTCACTGATACCCATTTTGCAAACACTCTGCTGTATTCAAAATGCATCTATAACATATTTGTGTGGGCCAGAAAGACAATTTTTCAACCACAGCCCAAATGTAACTGACAAGCTTTTATAAGTATGTCTTCACAATATGGAGCACATACTGATGGTATCACTTGTTCCTCTGCAGGCATTTGGGAAGCAGAAGGATGGTGTAAGGAGGTTGTGATGCTGGTAAACCAAGTGCCAGCTCTGGCCAATGCCATATGCATTAGCTAAGAACTGACAAACTCATAGCTGGAAACCAAACCAGCTCACTTGTATGCTAATTTTCTTCAAAACAGCTTTTAGTCTTATAAGAATGTATTTAGAGTTTAGACTCTACGAAATGCTTGTAAATTGTTGCTTGCATTCATCTCACTTGTAATGTCTGTATTCCATGCTACAAGGTAAAATATAAGTTTGTTTTGTAATTGTACAAATGCCTGCTCTGAATTTGTGAACTCAGATGGGAAGAGTGACTCCCCCGCCCATCCCGGAAGACTATCAAATTTAAGTGGGCCATCATAGGACAAAAGCTTTGTGAATTGGTCCATCTATCCATGGAGAAGTACATTCAGAAGACCTTATTCCATAGATTTCAATGCTGTTTGGACTCTCACAGGGGCTGGAGCTAAGAAACAAAAAGCAGAGAGCCCCAAGGTCGACCTGAGTTAAGCCCTAAAAAGACATTTAGTGGTGACTGATTACTACATCTCTGTCACCTTTTGAATCACAGACTGAAGCTCATTTGTGCATATATGTTTGCTTGCTTTAAACTGTAAATAACTCTCATTTCTTTTTCCTTGTTAATAAATCTTTAGTTAATTTATTACAGGGCTGGCTACAAGCATTGTCTTTGTTGTGACTTCTAAGGTACAAATTGATGTGGGATAAGTGACGGTTACTTGGGACTGGAAGGAATCTGAATATTTTGTGATTTTTGGTGTAAGTGACCATTTATCACTTAGTCCAGCTTGCCTGAGTGGCAAGGTAGACTGGAGTGCCCACGTGGACTGTCTGTGACTCCATGGTAACACTGTTATAGTGATCCAGGAGTTCACATTTGTTACTGGGTTAATGAAATCTGATTATGGAACATACCACCAGTTTGGGGTGTTTGATCTGCTTTTGACAGTCTGCCCTTTTCCTTCTGTGGGTGTCTCTGTCTCCTGTGTTACACAGATCCTCAAGGCTGCTATTGTGCTGCTGGCCTTATGGATTTGAGCCTCCTCCTTTCACTCTACACTTAGCTCTTCTGCTCTTTTAGTCTTCTAAAGGCGTTTTTTATCTCATTTAGCTCCTCTTTCATTTCATAATCTTGCTTGGCATGTTTCTCATTGTCAGTTTGTGTGGTTTGTTCCTGTTCCTGGATATATCTCCCATGCCAGTCACCACTGATATGGAGACAGGGAGTCTTGCCCAAATCCTCCTCCTTAAAAGAAACCATGCAACTCTAATCTCTGTCACACAGCTAAGGCCTTGGCTACACTCACGGATTCACAGCGCTGCCGTGGCTCCACCTCTCCGAGGGGAATAGCTTGCAGCGCTGCGAGCGAGTGTGCAGTGCTGCAGGCGCTGATTACACTGGCGCTTTACAGCGCTGCACTCGCTGTGCTCAGGGGGGGTGTTTTTTCACACCCCTGAGCGCAGCAAGTGCAGCGCTGTGAATTGCCAGTGTAGCCAAGGCCTAAAATATCTCCTCCTGTAATCCCTAGATGTTGCCTCTTCCAGCAACGTCTCAGGTGTATCCTCTTATCTCACAACCTCTCCATGTGATGCAGAGATTCTCTGCCCTTCCTTTGCAAAAGAAAGTGAACATGAGTTTAGATTTTGTGACAATGAAAACAAAAGCAGGGGCTGGCCAGTGACAGGCAGAGCAGGAGCTGTTCTGTACACACTCACACACCCACATAGCCTTTGTTGATGTCTCTCAGTCCTGTGCTGCAGCACCCCCTGCTATTCTGGTCCTGGATTTCACACTCAGCTCTGCCAGTGCCCCTCAATCCTGCCCTGCAGCCCCCTGCTCTTCCAGTCCTGAGCTCCTGATACAGCTTTGCCTGTGCCCCTTAGTCCTGACATGCAGCATCGTGTGGTATCCTATTCTTGAAATCCTCACATAGCTCTGCCTGCACCTCTCTCTTGCTTGCAGTACCCAAAGATATGTGTCCTAGACCTCTCTTGAACAGAAGACGCTAATTGTGCTGTATTTTGCAATGGTTTAGCTTTGTTCACAAAAAGAGGCTAGAATGCAACACACACACATTCACTGTCTTCAGCAAGACTGTCAGCAAAACAACCTTGGATCCAAGAATAACGTGTGGAACCTGATCCATTTAAATCCTGTCCCTAAGAATCTGATTAGATGCCCTTCCTTCTCTGTTCTCTATCTGTTTTGGGAGTGCCAGTCCCAGCGGATTAACATGCAAGGCTGCTCTGGGCATTTCTAGCAGGTATAAAGAAAGAACTAACAACCCCCTGACACAACAACCCCCTCCCCCCACAGGTGTTAGTTGTGGCTCATGGGGTGAGGAAACAGATCACAGTGGTTTATATAACTGAACATATTGGAGATGAGATAAAGCAACTGAGGAAAAACAAGCCACTCCCTGCGGAACCGGTTGGGTGGTTGCTGGGTTGCTGGGGGCCACCACTGTTGATATTATTACTGCACACTGATAATGTCTCTGGGAGGGTTAAAGTGTTTTGTTGGTGTTCCAGTCTCCCAGTCAAGGGGCAATGCATGGGACAAGGGTGTTTCTCTAATTCATATCCCCTTTCATACTATTCAAATCCCCCTTCTTTAACTATTGTAACAATGGCCTCAAGTCCCTGCTCTTTAGAATCTGCCCCACACATACAGTACTAAAAAGCATGGCCATGCATCACACCCTCGCCTCAGACAACTACCCTGCCTGCCCAGGCATTGCAGGAACGAACTGAAAATAGCTCTCTTGCTATTTGAAACATTCCTTCAGCCTGCCTCAGGGATGTGGCTTCTCATTACAATGCACCCCAGCAACTCTTCTCAAGAACCACAGCACTTTCCTCCTCTATGTCCCTTCCCCAAATGTCACCTGGTGTGAGAGCCCTCTCTCTGAAGCTCCAGTCACACAGAACAGACTCTCTTTTTCTCTCTGTCTCATTGACAGTTTTCGTATTATTTCAGAACCCAGGGGGAAACTTTTTGCCTTTATACTGTTATTATTATTGTTGTGGTAGTGCCTACAGGTGAATCAGGCCAGGGCCCCATTGTGCTGGTGCTGTATAAACATAGAATCATAGATTTTAGGCCAGAAGGAACCATTCTGATCATCTAGTTTGACTTGTATAACACAGGCCAGAGAATTTCACCCAATAATGCCTGCATCAAAGCCCGTGACTTCCGGTTCAGCTACAGCGTATCTTTTAGAAAGACAGATAGTCTTGATTTTAAAACATCAGATGATGGGGATCTATTGTGTTCCTAGGTAACATATGGTAAATGACAGTCTCTGCCCCAAACAGCTTACATTCTAAAAGACAAGACATAAGAAATGGATGACAAAGTCAGCTGTGTAAGGATACAGGGTGGGGGAGATAGGTTAAAAATATTAGGACATGGGCACTTTTTAATCTCTCTCTCTCGCCCTCTTCCATTGTTATTGAATTCTGTACACTATTCTGAGTGCTATCATTTGGACAAAGGCTATTACTTGTGATGGACCCAATTCCACGAGGGGAATGCAGTCTCCAGCGCTCACGGTCTTTTTCCTGATACTGACACTGGGACTGCCCCAACTGATGGTGCTTTTTCTGATGCAGACTCTCCTCCCATGAGGAATGGACTGAGATTCAGCAACATATTGCTTCTGAACGGCCCTCACGGCTAATGACTATGTGATTCTAATGAATGATTGGGGCTCACTCCAGCCTTTACAAGATAGGGGCGAGCTGATGAGAGGAGTCCTTAAAAGAAATCCTTTCTCTTTGTGAACTGAGGTAACATGCTGGCTCTCAGAATACCAATTTGGATGGGAATGCTGAGCCCCCTCCTGCATCCAGTTAGGTCCAAAGAGCTGTTCAATATCTTGTGACACTAGCACATAGGGTCCCTGGTACCTGTCTCCCCCGGGCATGGCACCAAGGTGTATTATGTAACGTGTTGACTTTGTGCCATCTACTTAATCAGATGTAGAAGAACAAGTTGCTGCCCTTCCTCTTTGGCACCAGGCCCTGCCTCGCTAGACATCCATATAAGTTGGACCCCTTACCACAGATCATCCAGCCCAGGGGATCAGCATGAGAGACAGGCTACCCTGATCCTGATGAAGATGATGAGCCTCCTGTGGACCAAGAGCTTTCTCTTCCTCCTGTCCATCCCGTGCCTTTGCTCCAGCCAGCCCTCACCTCCCCCGTTGCGTTTCTCTGCTTTCTTGGACGACTCAAACATGGTCTTCATGCGCTGGGACCATGATGAAGAGGAGATGATGACCTTTGAGCTCCAGGTCCGCACTGTTGGCTGGGTGGCATTTGGATTCAGCCCTCATGGAGAGTTGCCTGGGTCTGACATTGTGATCGGGGGCGTTTTCCCCAATGGCAGCATCTATTTCTCTGTAAGTTGAAAACATTGCCCCTCCTTCCCCCTTTGAAGAGGGTCATGTTTTACACGTACTGCATTCAAGGCAGGATTCTATGCGGGCTGAGTTCACAAGCAGGAAGATTTAGATAAGTTTGGGTTGTTCCATCTACTATCAGGTCAGTGGATGCTTCCAGAAGCAGTATAGTCCTGCTTAAACATGGCTGATGCACCAACACACATGCAGCCAACATGCAGCTAGGTTCACACCTATATCCCTCACCACTATACATGCTCATACAGACACACCTGCTACCTGCCCTCACCTAGATACATACCTGAAAACACTGCATGCTTCTTGTTACTAACATGCCCATGCTCTAATGAAAGTCCCTGGTCCACCAGTTCAATGACACCTATGACTAGAGATAGGGGAAATCATGTATGGTTTATTTCATTGATTCTCAACCAGGGGTATGTGTACCCATGGGGGTACACAGAGGTCTTCCAGGAGGTACATCAACTCATCTAGACATTTGCTTAGTTTTACAACAGGCTACATAAAAAGCACTAGTGAAGTCCGCACAAATGAAAATTTCATACAGACAATGACTTGTTTATATTGCTCTAAAAACTATACACTGAAATGTAAGTACAATATTTATATTCCAATTGATTTATTTTACGATTATATGGTAAAAATGAGAACATAGGCAATTTTTCAGTTCTAGTGTGCTGTGACACTTTTGTATTTTTATATCTGATTTTTAAGCAAGTAGTTTTTAAGTGAGCTGAAACTTGCGGGTATGCCAGATAAATCAGACTCCTACAAGGGATGCAGTAGTCTGGAAAGGTTGAAAACCTCTGGTTTATTTTATGTGGATTCTGATGACATCTGTTTTGTCAGTTTCACTTACTGTGGTTTCACTTGCCTTGAGTTTTGCTGTGTCTTTTTTTCCATCCAGACGAGAGATGCATTAAATCCCTACCACTCTGACTTCTCCCAATCCTTGGAAGGCCAGATAAAATGTAACCTGTATCCAAACTATTCCTCATTCTGAATTTGCAGAACCAAACCCCAGCTGATTAGGTTTTGCAAAATCAAGGCCATTACAGAACAGTTTGCCCATTACAGAACACAGTTCAAACTCAGTACAGTATGGTGAACATGAGAAACTAACCAAACCAACGAGTTCTGTGAAGACTTGGGTGTTACTTGCAAAAAAATTACCATGTATTTAGTTATCACCAAGCCCCTTAGAAAGCTTAATCTCAGAATAGTTCTGTTTACCCAGAGGCTTTTTTTTTTCTGAACATTGATGAAACTTTGCAGGGTCAAAATATATCTATTCTACTCAGCTGGTTTCATTTCCATGTTTGAATCTGAAACTAAATGAGTTTTGCATGTTTTCGTTGGTTGGTTGTGAAACTCTGGTCACAATGACCAGAATTTTCAAAATGATTCAGAGATGTTTTAATTTTTAAGGTGTCTCATGTGTCCTCCTAACAGTGAGAAACCCCAAATCATTAGCTTATGTAACTTCAAGATTGTGGCTAGCATGGGACCGCTGATGGCTGGGAAACCACAGGTGAGGGGCAAAGAGGTTCCAATAGTCTTGGCAGATCCAGAAAGGTTTATAAGAATATAGGCGCAAGCCCGCACACGCACACATGAATACACACATCTACACCCCATCTTAGCACTCACCTATTAGCCGAACCAGTTGTACAAACACTAGGTAAATTCGGGGGGGGGGGGGAATGTAGTTTAGTGTAGCTGTAGTATGTGTGTATGATTACATTGCTCTCTCTCCCTCTCTCTCTTAATCATTCTTCTCTGTCTTTCTCAAGAGTGAGAGATATTTTTCCAAATAAGTCTCAGGGTTAAGAACTGTCTATAGTGAATGATTTTACTTTTAGTTTTTAATACTTATTTTGTTTATTGGCTTTTGTGTAACTCATTTTGGGACTGTTCATCTTTGCATTTTTAGCTTAGTAAATAAAGTAACACAAAGGGGAATTTCAAAGAATAGAAAACAAAGGAGGCATTTTCAAATTCCCCTCTGTAATGTGATTCCCAGCTTGGTAAAGGAGTGGTTTAGAGGGATCTGAGAAGCTACAATTAGAGGCAATGGAGGTGAAATTGAGCAGAAAAAAAGAATGTCAGGCTGGGTATCAGGAAATGCAGTGAAAGTGATGCTAGGGTTTGGATAGTCACCCCAAGGAGCAGAGATGTGCTACCAATATATTCACAAGGGGCTCCTATAAAAATGTTCCCTCTTATCCCATGATAAACGTCTGTCCTGGGGACATGTGCTCACATTTAAATGCTTTCACAGTCATAGTTGATAGAGGGGACTTTACTTGGCAAAGAAACTTATATTAAGTGCACTTAATTGAAAAAAATGTACTTTGTACCAGAAAAATATTCTGAGCACATAAATAGTTAAGAAAGGTGTTCTGCTTGTTAATTTGAAATGGGATGGGTTGATGGGAGTGAGGTGGTGATATTATAGGGGGATATAGGAGGCCTCCTGTCATAGGAAATTTTGGTTTTTGTCCATTTCAAAGGTGTGTGTGTCGGGGGGGAATTCCTCAAACTCTTTCATAGTGTATGGACTATATTTCAGTCACAGAGCGTATTTTGACGGCACCACCTTTCTCAGTTGCGATTGAGGACCACCTCCCGTCACATTCACAATTACATTGATCACCTCCCTTCCCATTCAAATCAAAACTCTTCAACTGCTTACACAGATAAGTAGTATTAGGAAGGTAACTGATGAATGGGTAAAGATCATTGAATGCAATTTTGAAGCTAGAAATTAGGAGAAAAACAACAGCTTTTTTTGCACCATCAGCAAGTGCTGTGCAGACCACTACTGACCCAAGGACAACAGTCTGAAACTAGACAAAACCCAGGAGTATACATTGTGGGGTTGGATCTCTTGTCCATCATTGCAGTGCCATTCTGTACTGTGCTCAAGAAATATCCTGTGTGGAGCCCTTAATGATGAGAAATGCGGGGTGAATTTGCTTGGATGTGATAACATGCTGTGAATCTTGTTTTAGAGTCATTTCATTTATACAGTTGTCTCCATCTTCCTTGGGTCGGTTGAACTTTTTTCTCACTACATATTTGTCCTACATGACTAATCTCATTCAGCCCAGCCTGGTTCCCGTTTACTTTAAATTCCTTTTCTGTGGCAGGCTACAGAACATTATTCAATTCCTTGGTTTTACTCCAAATCATCAGATCCTCAATGATTCTGCCCTATTCACTTCTGGTCTCAAGATGTAGGATTTCATGCTTTGTTGCACCCCTCTGATCCTGAGGCAATCCTGGAGAGAAGTCACTTAAACATCTATTTCCCAAAAGGAGAGTTGAAGGTGTACAATTTTGCATTTTCTGTATTGAGTCAACTTGCCAAAACCCTTGACTTGCAGCAGTACAGAAAATGCTCTTGTATTTTGAAGTCTAGGCATGGCAGGCAACATTTTTAAAGGTATTTAGGCACCTAGAGATTCACATAGGTACCTATTAGGATTTTTGAAAGCACTAGGAGCCTAATTCTCATTGAAATCAATGTGGGTTGGGCACCTAGGCACTTTTGAAAATCCCACTACACCCTTATCTGTATCTTTAAGCATCTAAATATCTTTAAAAATCTGGCCTAACAGCTTCTCCTGTTCTCATAGGGTAGCACTCACCTTTGATTACCTCATTCAATCCCTTTGTATGTGTGTATAAATTCTAAACGTGTTTCGTTTTCTTATAGTGACTGTACTGATAAAGCAGTCTGCTAGGCAGAATATTCAGAAGTGTTCATCACCCATAACCAGGGCCCATTTTTAAAAGGCTGGGTGCTGATCTCTTTTGAAAATCTGCCCATAAATGTTACAATGGGAGGTGCTGGGTGCACAGCTCTTTTAATCATCTGCTCTATTGACTTCTTCACTTGCTCCATTTTTTGCCAAAGATTCAGTTTAGTTTACTTCTGAAATTGATCGTGTGACACACATGAGTACGAGACTGATCTTTAGTTCTTCAGCTGATATGTGTCAGGATTAGGGGTGGTCAGAAAAAGTGTGTGTAGGAGAGAGACTCTATAGCTTGGTGATTAGAAAAACTCTGCTTTCCCTCTCCTCCCAGTATCCTGGATCTGAGAAACCTTCCTGATTAAATTTGCATTGAAACCAACATGTTTCCATGAAGCATTCTGGTTTTGACTAAATGACACTTTTCAGTGAAAAAAAGTTTTATCTAAATGTTTCTGACCAGCTCTAGTCTGGATTACCAAAGGTCATTCTGTCACTATATAGGTGTCAGTACACAGGGACTCCAGGGGCTACTGTCACATTGAAGAGAGGGAGGGAATGGACAAAATGTGACTATTGTGTTTCTCTGATTTGTAGGAAACTCGCAATGAAGGCAGAGGGGCCTTTCAATGTCATAGTTACTTTAACAATTATTCAATCTCTATCAGTGCTATTTAGAGAGATGCAGTCTCAGGATGTGAAGAGAAGTTACTTCTATTCTCTCTGTGTTGTTTCCTCATTTGATTTGACATCTCTCTCCATGTCCAATCCAGGACTGGCATGCTGTGGATGAGGAAAATCTCAAGGAGGACAACAGCCAGGACTACCAGCTGCTGTCACTAACAGAGGATGAGACCTTCACCACCTTGCGGTTCAAACGCTACTTCCAGACATGTGACCCAAATGACCTGGATATCACGGTAATGGAGGAGACAATCCTTCTGCACAAGGAGCCACATATAAGTGAAACAAACATGCCTCCCCCCTGTACTCTGATGTATACCGGAGACCTTAAACAGGGAACTTCTCTTATTACAGTAGAGGAACAGGAAGTATACAGTCTAAAAATAAGAGCGCATTGCAACAGTTTATGATGATGTAGAATGTGTTGATAGGATTAGTAGTTCCCTTTTAGTATAGACCTCTATGTGGACAGTATTCAGGACTGGGGAGATGTGAGCCTCAAAACATTCTGAGGCTTGAATACAACCTCTGGCTTCTGGGAAACGCAACTAAACTTAGGCAGAGCTTTTAAAGTCTCTTTTTGCACTCTTGACCCTTCACCTCAACCTTTCCTACTCCTCTTTTTCTGTCTGCCTCTTTCTATCTATCCCTCTTTCATAGATCATGGATCTGCCTCTTTAATAAAGAAGATAAATTTTACAAGTCAATGAACATCACATATATAGAACCATCACTTGAGTGCAGTATATGATAAGAGCTGTTAAAGACATAAGATGGGGCTTTCAGTTGTGCTCATCATTTGTATAACTCAGTTCCCATTAAATCCATTGTTTCAATGGGAACAGCATATGCAAAATGCAAAGTGTTTTGGAAAGTCTCACCCCAGCTCTTTTTTAATTGAAATGCTGTACAGGGGATTCAGATTGATAGCAAAATTACAATTAAAAAGTCTGATCAACCTAAAAATGACAAATGAGTTAGTGATATTATTATTCTTAATTAGTATTATTATTGCAGTACCTAGAAGCCCTATTTTCAAAAGATCTGCTTTGTCACTGGTACATTAATGGACAGATTACCAGAACTCTAATTACACAAATGTGTATGTTTGTGGATCTAAATTGGGGACACATTTGTTATCATTCTGCATGTAACTGCATGTACAAATGACCACTTAGATACATGGCTGGTCATCAGTGCTCAGTTACCAAGATTACATTTGAAGTTGCACTAAGTGCACTCACAGAACAGGCACACAAATAGACATTTTCCCACATTCACTAACACGTGCAGCAATTCTGAAAATTTGGCCTTTAGTGTCAGAATTTAGCTCTCATGGATCTTGTGATGCTCCCCAGGGGTACCCAGAGCTGTGAGGTATTTCACCACTACCTGCCCTTAGAGTGAGGCAGTCTTGTCTGCGTCTACTGTCGCTCAGCTCTGTGAAACCAACAGCCTCTGACCCCACAAGCACTGCCTTCCAGGTCTCCACAGGCATCACTGTCTCTGTGCAGACTAGTGTTGGCTCTGCTACCCAGAGACAAGACAACATCCTTTGGTTTAGTCTCAGGTGTCTTCCCATCACCCTGCTTATGCCACATGCAGATTTGTCTTATAATCTTAATTTACATTGGACAAAGAGACAAACATTTTATCTCCCTCTGGAAGAAACCTGTTTGTCAGTTCTGCCAAGTTACACAATTTAAAACATAATTCCAGGATGTGTACATAACTTTTAAAATATCATCAGTGCATACATTTCACAATGATATTAATGCCCAGCTTGATATCAGCTTTCGATACCTTACAAGACACTATTTAAGATAAATGAAAAGCAGTGTGTTTGGTGTAGTGACTTTGTCAGGCCTGTTAAGAATTGCTGTTATAGAAGAGTGAACCCTTTGTTAGTTGGCATTGATAGTCACAAACCTCAGTACCTGAAAATCAGACAAGGTGTCTCAACTTGTGGGCACACACAAAAATGTAAGTACCCAAAACTAGTGACCACTTCTGAAAATTCTGGCCTCATCCAAATCCTTAAACCTTTCCTCTTGATCTCCAACCTATTCTCTTTCACTCACCAGGTCCTTAAACATTGTACATGTGTGTATGTGAATATTGTGGTGCAGTGTGTAATATGATTGTGGAATGTGTTTGGGTGATGTTTTTTGAAGGGTTTTGCCTTACGGGAAATGATCATGAGCCTTTGTACAGAAGTGTTTTGTGTGGTTGCACTGTGCACATGTTTGCTGTGTTTTCTTATGTAGGAATGAACTGTGTGTGGGAGGCATGTAGTGTGTGTGCATATCAGTAATGTGAGGGATGTGTGTTTTAGTGTGTAATGTGTGTAGTGCATTTTAATGTATGTCTCATTGTAGGGGTGTAATAGGTGTGGGCATTTCGATGTGTGGAATGTGCATAGTATGTTTCAGCATGTGTACTGTGAGTGTGTGTGTGTATGTCTGTGAATGAGAGTGTATATGCAGGTATGTGGAAGCTGTGATGTCCTGAGGAGGATTTTGCAGTAAATTTCTCTCCTTACAGGGTGACACCGCACGCCTGATTTCTGCTTTTGGCACTGACGACACAGTCCAGTTCTCCAAAGGCCAAAGATTCCTCAAATCTCTCTTTCTGATGCGGGTCATAAGCCCAACTGAATTGAATGACCCCAAAATATTCTTCACCTATGACCTGAAGCTAAATGATGTGAGTATCTGACCACAGCACTGCCTATCCTCTGGACACAAGAATCCCCACTCCCTGACATTCTTTTCAGTAGAGCTGATGGTGGCCAATATGGATGGATGGATGGATGGACACGGCTATCTTAATGAATGTGTGAATGGGCAGAGAGATTCAGTAGTAAAGTGGAAGAGGATGGGTTTGTTTTGAGGAAGGGCTAGGCTGCGTTCTATATTAGGGAAATATTTGGGGATATTACCTCTTCCTTTTCAGGCCAATGATATAGGCTGGGACCAGTTTAAATTTCTGTTGTTACCAAAAGAAAATTACACACAAACAAAAGTGATTATTCAGCTCTCAGGAATGTTCCCTTGACTTGACTTTTATTTGAAAAATAAAACACACTGTTGTGCTGTTTGGCTGTTCTATCACGTATATACGTTACACACAAAAACTACGTTAAAAGAACATTATTAAGGTTGCAAAGACAAATATTGAAAAGTTAGGAAATGCCAGAATTAAGGTTGTCTGTAGCACCTTAGTTTGTCCCCTTGTGTGTATGCATTATGAAACAATCTTTAATTCCATGATCACATACAATTTTTTTTTCACAGGACTCTGCTGCATTCAGCGCACTGGACAGAGGGTGCTCATTGAATGAGCAGCTATTCTCCTCATCACTCAATGAGTGGCCTCAGGCTTTATTTACTGCACACTTTTAAAAGCTGGCTCTGAATATAGAATTATTCATTTCCTTGTGGGCTTTCCTATGGTGCTCATCACTATAGTACTGGAGTGCTTCACAAACATTAATTAATTTATCTTTTCAGCACCCCTATAAGGTTGTGGGGTAATATTCTCTCCTTTTTACAAATGGGGAACTGAGAGACGGAGAGATTAAGTTTAACAGTATTCACTAAGTGTGGGTGTCCAATTTTAGATGCTTAGGATCTGATTTTTTCCAACTATGTAGCATTATATAGCACTTTATATGTTCAAGCACAGCTCCCATTGACTTCAGTTACAGCTGTGAGCACTAAGCACTTCTTCAAATCAGACCCCAGGGTCTCAAATTGGGTACCTATAAAATGAGAAACAATTAGAGGCCATCTGTGAAAAGTTTGGTTTAAGTGACCTGCCCAGCATCACACCGGAACTCTGTGGCAGAGGCAGGAATAGAAGCCAATTCTTGAGTCCAGGGCATCCAGTTCTTCACCTCCCTTAACCATGAGGCCATCCTTTCTCTTTCTGCCTCTTTCACTACACACCTTCCAGCTTCTGCAACAAACGAGGCAAACATCCTAAACACAACAGCCACCTTTAATACACAACCCTGATTAATCCCTAGGGCAGGTCTATCTTGTGCACTGAATGAGGCAGGGGTCCTGTGGAATAAAGTAGCATGTGATCATGGAAGAAAGACTGCATCATAAAGCATATTCACAAGGGAGGTGAATTAAGGTTTCATAGGTAGCCTTAATTCTGGCACTTCCTAACATTTGGGTGTTTGACTTTACAATGTTGACTTTAATGTTCTTTGGATATATTTGTGTGTGTGTGATTGCCTATGTTCTTAATAAAGCAAACTGAAAAAACAGAAACTCCAACATGTGGCAACCTGACCTGACCTGACCTCTTCCACTGGAGTTAACAAAGTAACTGACAGCAGCAGTAGATTGTCATCCTCTGAGCATGAGATGGGGATGGGATACTTTGCCACTGGGTTTCACAGATATTTGTTGATAGTAGAGGAATAGTGAGACTCAGGAATACTGGTTCCACTGAAGGCTCTGTAGGAGTGTGCTGCAGTGGGCACAGCATCTTCTGCCTGTATTTCAAAAGCTTGATATTTTCTGCTCCATCTCCCCCATCCCAGTTCTGTCTCTTTCCTACCCCTAGCTCCTTGGCTGAGTCCCATTCTGTGTACCTACCCAGTCTCTACTCCTCAGACTTATCATTCCAGTCTCAATCTCCTTCCCAGAAAGTCTAAGTCTCCCCACCACAGGCTCATTTTCTGAGTCCCAATCCCCAGCTCCCAGTCTCTCTCCCTTCCCACATACAGTCCCAGTCTTCTTGTCCATTCAGGCCCAATTCGCCCCTTACAGCTGCTCATCTGATCTGTCTCTGCCAACCCCAATGCACCCCAGCTCATTATCAGACCTCTCTGTCTTTCCCCATTCCATCCATGTTACTGGTTCCTAGTGCCATTCTCCTTTTCCGGCCAGCCCCAGTCTCTCCAGCTTCTTGTCCCTACCAGCCAGCTGGTTCCTAGCCAACCCTCTTCCCCTATTTCTTTCATCATCTCCCAGTCCCCCTATACAGGCTCCCAGTTCCAGCCTTCCCACTCAACCAGTTCCAGATTCCCTTTGCCCACCTCCCCACTGGCTTCCAGTCCCCGTTTCCTTGACCAACCAGTCCCACCAGCATTTCCCCCTTTTTTTGAGTCTCTTTGCCCAGCCAGCCCAGTTCCTGCCCCTCAGCTCCTAGTCCCAGTCTCTGTACACAGCCATCTCAGTCGCCCCTCTCCAACACCCAATCACAGTTTTTCTCCCCCTCCAGTCTCAGTCTCACCAGGTTTCTTGTCCCAATCTGTTTCCTTCCTTCCCTCCCACCCACCACCCACAGTCCAACTCTTGTCCCCTCTGCATTTGAATCAGGTAGCTTCCTCCTTCATGCTGCCAGGGCTCCAGCAGAATGGTCATTGAGAGCACAGGCTTCCAGTTCTCAGTTTCAGTATGTGGCATCACTCTTGCTGGGAACAGCTTTTACAGGGAAAGCCAGCTTTGCCCCTGTAGCCCTGGGCTGGTGGGAGCATGCTCTGTGGGAATGGTTAGCACGAGGAGCTGTGAGGGGACGGAGCACGTTCAGTAAGGATGGACACTTGAAGATTTTAGTTTCCAAAATCAGTCTATACTGAGCATGTGCAAAACTGCAATTTGTCAAAGGCTTACATAACTTAGCCACATTTGGGCAGATTTTCATGGTGGGGGGGGGGGTGGCAAAAGGCCACATTCCTGACACAAAGGCTAGCCTATGTCAAATTTCAAGAGTCTTCTCCAAAGCATGGAGGACCTAGGGCTTCTCAAAGAAAAGGTCTAAAAAACCTTCTTTTTTTCAAAACATGGGCAAAACAATGTATTTTTCCTAGCTTCTTTCTTAGAAATGTTGGAACTCTTTTTGGTGAATTTAAAATATATATATATTCAGGCTAAGTCAAACATCCAGCATGGGAAATTTCAGCCCAAACTGTTAAAGTTTCACAAAGTTATAAGCAACAGAAAATGAGCCTTACAATGGGAAATGTTAGGTGACCTTAATAGATAGGGTTACCTGCCCTGCCTATAATAATTATAGTGTCTCATGGAAGCACACAGTCAAAATATGACAAGTGTATTTACTGCTCCCAGTTTACTGTTGCCTGTTATTGGAAACTGCATGATCCTCATGGAGAAGAGCTGCGCTGGGAACTCAGGAATAGCCCCTATATCATGGCTCTGCTAGAGCTCTGGAAAACACAGCACACACGGTGCTCCTTCCTGTACTAACAAAAGCAGTGTCTCACATTCATTACTAAACTGCCATTACTGGTGACACAGCAGCACTTGTATGCAAGGAACAAGGGATCATGAGAGCACTGGAGGAGGATTGAACACAGTTAGCATCCACACAAAGAGCTGGGGTCCCATTAAAATAGACATCACCACAAACATAGCATCCCCTGTCTTAAACCCACAAATTCTACAAGTAGAAGCTGATCACACTGACCTACTTCAAGTAAACAACCACATATTTTTGAACGTAGTGATCTAGAGGAAAAGGACATCAGGCAGGGATGCCAAATGTGCTAAATACAGAGGATGTGGTGCAGGCTCTTACCTGGCTATTACCAGTGATGGAGGAGCAGGGGGATTCAGAGTAGTTCCTCTGCTGATTAATCATCCTGGCATGGTTTACAAAGTGACAGATGATGACTCTGATCAGGCTAGCTCAGTGTACATCAGGCAGAAGGTAAGGGAGGAGTGTGAGGGTCTGTCTGTGAGGTGCTCTAGGGCAGGTGGAAGAAGTAGCCAAAAAGGACCAACTCACTGTGGTACACCACTGACATTGTTCAGCGCAGCTGCAAAATAAGGAGGCTTGGCACCTGATGGGGAAAAGTAGAGGCTACCACTATTGAAGCAAAGTGGGGGGAGGGAAAGGGCGCGGTCACCTCTTTAGTGCTCCACCTAGACAGTATCTGCCAATGCAAGCTGCAATATCACACAATACAGCACCCCCTGCTAACCAGCTGGCACCAGGGTGCAGTGTAGTAGTGTTTTCCTCTAAACTCTAATAGTGACACCTGCACAATTACTCAGCTCTGTAGGAGCAGGTTTAGCCTTCGAATGGGCATTGATCTTAGGTTTGTAAAACTGCAGAAATGTGGGGTAGCATCTTGGCTGTGGGGAGGGGAGCCTATCCAACATTATGCACTGTATCTGAGGAGCAGCAAATATAGCCACTGGCCAGAAGGCTGAGCAGCAGTGCCACAAGGAAACTCTCAGCTCCAGTGTCATCATGGCCAAGAAAGCCAAAGCACTGTGAGGGAGCAAAACTGAGTTGGGGGCAATCCAGAGATTCCCCAAGAGTTGGGGGCAGCCTGAGGTCTTCTCTGGAGAAAGGAGCAGTCCAGGGAATCCCCCAGAGTTGAAGCAGCCTGCTGCTCCATTTCATTTAGAGAAAATTGAATGGAAATACCTTGATTTTTTTTCTAAATGAAAATTTTCAGAATTTCCTTCCCATGGAAATTTCAAAATGTCAAGTTTTTGTTCTGATTCATAATTAAAACTTTTTAAAATGTCAGAATTTCCCCTGGAATGGATATGCCAAGTTTCAACTAGCTTTACTTACCTGCTCCCACATGGAAGGGGAGGGCTTCCTCCAGCTGATGAAGCCTGTTGCAGATCCCAATCTGTGCCATGTCTGTAGCATGCAGAAAGAGCCCTTGGGAGCTGTGACAGGGGAGGGTGCATTGATCATGGACAGGTGGATCAGTGGAGAAACCACATATGACACGTCCACTGCTGCACACTGGGTGAACCTGAGCATTCAGCAGCAGTGCACCACACTATGCATGACTGGCTTTGAGAAACAACACTGCTACTGATATACCAGAAGGAGTGGGATAGGTTATAGAGAACATGATGATACCCATTCCTCTCTGGTCTGGGTTTGTGATCTCAGGCAATTGGCAAAATATGACTGAGACAGAGTATGATGGAGCATGATGGAGAGTTCCCACACTTAGATTTTGATATGGAAAATGTCATTCCAAATTATATGTGGGGGGGTGGTGGGGGAGGGGGGAAATGTGGAAGGAAAAGGATTTGTTGAAAATTCACTGGCAATTGTTTAATTCTTTCACTGGAAAAAAATTGTTAAAGCCTTCACTATTTCTTTGATACCAGCCCACTTATTGCTGCCAAAAACAAATGTATTTCTTGCCAGTCTCCTGATGAAATGGGACAGTGCTAAAGAACGTGGGGACATGGGCCCAGCTATCAATCTGATTCTCCATTTTCTTCCTCCATTTTGCCTCTCCATTCATACTTGCACCCTGCCTGGGCTGCTGCTCGTGCCCTGGCAAGTTTAGTTTTCTCTGGTCTTTTTTTTTCTAGTTTCCCATCCCAGTTGATGAAACCACATATGCCTGTACTTTTATCCCACTGCCCATCGTTAAGCAGAAGCACCACATCTACAAGGTAACCCGACAAGTCTGACTGTCTGTCTTTTGGAGCATCCTGTTAGTCTATGTTGAGAGTATCCTGTCTGCCTTTCAGTGTCCTTGGGTGGGAACATCTGGTCTCTACATCTGTCTCTCTTGAAGCACCCTGTCTTTCTGTCTGTGTCCTTGGGAGCATCTTGTATAACTCTGAGAGTCTTTGCATGCAACAGACCAAATCAATCCCTAGTATAAATCCTACCAACTTCAGTGGGCTGACTCCATGGATTAACTTGATTCATTTTATTTGTCTGTGTCTCTTTGTTAGTGGACAGTACTCAGGACTCCAGGATATTCTAAGTTTATAAAAGGTGCAAAGACTTTTGCTCTTGCCCTTGGAAATTACTAGAGATATTTGTTTAAAATAGAAAACTAACCATTTTTGCAATGCAACTTTCATTAAGGTACAATACACATAATTTAAAAAAGCCAAACACCACAGCCCATTTCGAAGTCCAGCTCATTTTTCAAGTGAAGATGACTTTCCAATTAAGGACATGCAAATATTCATATTTTTGCATTTTTTTCTAATATAAAAATAAACACTTCATTGAAATCATATAAAAGAAAATTTCAGAGGGGAAGAAATGGTGTGGTAGTAAAAGGTGAAGATCTGCCTATGCAACTCCACGAAACAGAAAATGTGAATACTTTTTGACAGCTCTGATATAGCTACACAACAATCTATGGACCTGATTCTGCAAAGTGTTAAGAGCCAGCAAAGAGGTGCTGAATCCCTGCTGCTTTCATGGAAGTAAGTGGGAGTTAAAGGCACCCAGAACCTTGCATGACTGGGCTTTTGCCAGTAAATCATGTCTGGCTGAACCCTCAAGGAAATCTGGTTAAATTTCTCATGTTCATCAAGCTGCTTGACTGAGCATCAGATGCGGGATGGAAAAGGGTACAGACAACAGGGTTTCAATATCTTCAATCATCCATTTGGTGCAGAGTTTCAGAGTAAAGTAATGATCTCTCTAGGCTGAACTCCCCCACCACCACCACTACCACCACCTCCTCCAGGTATACCAGGTCAATGGCCCATCTAGTCTTTTCCCTCGCAATGGCCAGATGCTTCAGGGGAAGATATCCACTCCACATCAGTGCACTCAGACAGTACAATAGTATACTATGGAGAAGGGTGAATGTGCCCAAGACACAAGCTGCTTTCCCTTTCTGGAGACCGTCAGACCCATGTCCCTCTGTTCAGGTCTCTATTGACTACTCCTTTTAGTAACCTGGAGACAGGTTTTCAGGGTTCAGGATAACTTTCCTCAAATCTTTCTCTTGGTTACAGTTTGAGCCCATAATAACAACCCACCAGAACAGATCGATGGTTCATCACATTCTGGTCTATGCCTGTGGCAATGGCAGTGTGTTACCCACAGGCATCAGCGATTGTTATGGGGCCGATCCAGATTTTGCCCTGTGCTCCCAGGTGGTTGTAGGCTGGGCCGTTGGAGGAGGGGTGAGTATGAATGGTTCATCACAGGACATACCTCTTGTTATGACTGATGATACCCTTTGGTCAGACTAGTCCTGTAATGCATCTAATTCTGCAGTACTGTCTCACTGGAGAATTTCTTCCTGACCCTCCCCAGAAAGTGCTCAGTTTAACCATTGAAGCATGAGGATTGATGGCCCTCGTAATTTTTATACTAGCTGTTGTCACTCTGTGTCAAGTATCAGGGGGAAGCAGTGTTAGTCTGTATCTACAAAAACAACAAGGAGTCTGGTGGCACCTTAAAGACTAACAGATTTATTTGGGCATAAGCTTTTGTGGGTAAAAACCTCACTTCTTCATCTGAGGTTTTTACCCACAAAAGCTTATGCCCAAATAAATCTGTTAGTCTTTAAGGTGCCACCAGACTCCTTGTTGTCATTCTGTGTTGTTATTCTTATTCATACACATGGCAAATCCTTTATGGACACTAAGTAATAATATCCTGAGTCATAGAGTTCCACAGGTTAATTATATGCCACATTAAAAAGCTATTATTTTATTGGCTTCTATGTAATCCTCTCTGATGTTCTTTCCTTTTCAACATAATAAAATAAAAAGTAAAATCCGGTTGACTCATGTGGGAAAGTCAATACTAGATGCAGCTCTGGGTGAGTGATTCCTAGTGGCTGGTGCTGCAAAGATGTTCTCATCATCCACCCTGTGATAATCACTTTGCCTTTCATGGAACATCTGTATTTCCATGGTTGGAAGGTAGGAGAGTGGTTAGATAAATCACAAGAATAGAAGTAAAAACATTTTAATTGGCAAAGTCAGCAGATCTGGCACACATGGAAAAACCACACTCAAGATGCCATTTGTACATAGTAGAGTTAGTTGAAAGTTTTCAATGGAACAGTTTTCTGTTGAAAACTAGAGGTTCTTTTTTAATCATATGCTGGAATTGGCCAATTTTGTCTAAATTTTTACAGGAAAATGTCAAAATATTTTGTTTTGACAATGATAAAAGTAGAAGTAGTTTGGAGTCAGAATTTCCATTCCATGGGAAATTCCAACCTTTGGAAAGCAAAAATGTTCCAAATAAAAATAAATTTCAAAATTTCCCAGAAAAGGAAAAATCTAAAAATTGTCATCTCAGGACCATGAGAGTGTTTTATTTCCATTTTATCCTTTTGATGTGCAGTATTTTGTTTAGATATTATATTATATTATATTATATTATATTATATTATATTATATTATATTATATTATATTATAAACTCAATATATAATACACAAACATAACATTAAATATACTATGGATAGACATAAAATAATATTTAAACTAATATTTAATATAATATAACATTTGAAACAAATTTAATCAAACTGTTTCATTGTCAAGATTAAATCTTTCCATTTTTTCCCATGAAACATTTTGTTAAAATCCACACATTCCTGTGAAATATTTTTTTTCAGTGAAACTGCTTTTTTACTAGAAATCTATTCTGTTGAAAATTTTGACCATCTGTAGTTGAAATGTTTTGATATATTTCATTGCCATTTTTATATTAAATATTAGTTTTATTATTATATAATTTAATATTTATATATTTTACTTAATATTTTAGATAGTAGAAAATGAGCATCTATGTAGACCTTTAAATGAATTGAAATGATAAAGTAAAAACAAAACATTTCAAGAGTCCCAAATCTTTTTCTTCCTGAACTTTCATTTCATGGGAGACTTAAGAATTTCAGTCTTTCATTCGTATTCAGAATTTCAAGCAGAGTAGGAATTCCCATTCCCATCCAGTTCTAGCACATACCAGTAGTTATTGACACATGAATATCAGGACCTCTCTGCAAATTTCCAGCTCTCTGCAGGGAAGGAAACAGCTGAGAAGAGATGAGAAATGATTCCTGAATTGTAAACGTTCTTCTTCTTTCCCCTCCCCTCAGTCCTACCAGTTCCCAAATGAAGCTGCAATCTCCATAGGTACACCTATGGATCCTCAATATATCCGGCTGGAAATCCACTACAGCAATTTTGACTTGATACCAGGTGGGTAAAGATGGCAAGAAACGGCCATGAAAAGGGGTTCATAATTGTCATTCTCATGTTTTTTTCTCTTACATACACACTAGAAACCAGCTTCCAAATGAAATGACCTCTGGTCTTAATTAGCACAAGTTCCATGACAGCAAGAGGAACCTGTTAAGGTCCCCAATTCACAAAGGCATTAAACTTAGGCCTAACTTTAAGCAAATGAATAGTCTCACATGCTTATCAGAGGATCAGGAGGGAGCCAGGGGTATGTGAGAGGCTCATAACAACACTATTTTGCATGTGTATAGTTCTGACCGTATCACTCAAAAATGCTTTATAAATATTAGTGACTTAGGCCTCACAACAACCATCAAAGGTAAATCAGCATTAATTATTATCCCCATTTTACAGAAGGGGAAACTGAAACACAGATTTTAAGTGACCTACTTGAGACCACAACACTGCAATTCAGCACCAGAGCTGGGAACAGACTCACAGCCCCATTTGCTGACTTACAGTCCCATGTTTTAACCACTAACCAGTGCTTCCTCATATGGAGGTGCTGGGGCAGTATTACCAGGTCAGGGAGATCAAAGGCTACATAAAAGATCTGGAAGTACTGGAGTGTTGGTGAGAGAAAGGCAATACCAGAGTAGAGTTGTGGTGCAGGAAGCATAGAGCTGTATAAGGGAGTTAAGGAATGTGTGGTTAGGACAAGGCTGGGGGTATATGAGGAATATGAGGATGCTTAGAGAAATATGGGAGGGCTGAGGACAGACAGTGTGAATGATGGGAGAGACAGGGGTTCAGCAAGGAGGCTCTCAGGGGGCATGAGAAGTTGGGAGAGCATAAGAGCAAGAAGGTCTATTGGAGAAGTTGTTGAGAGAGTCAGTGTGTTTTTATAGGATTAATTGACAACTCAGGGATACGATTCTACTGCACCCCGGAGCTGCGGCCATATGACATGGGAGTGCTACAAACAGGGGTGTTCACCTTCCCGGTCCATTTCATTCCCCCTGGAGCAGATGCCTACAAATCCTATGGACTCTGCAAAAGCAGTCAGTTCAATGAGGTAAGTTCTGGGAAGCCAATAATTCCCCTTCCCCCTAGGTTCACATCCTGCTCAGGTCATGCCTGAAATTAATTAAGTGCAGATGTCACTCTAGTCTCCATTTTAAAAAACTACCATATGGCTCAGCGTGATTATTCAGAAGAAGCAGTAAGAATGGAGCAGCAGGCGATGCTGCAGATAAGGAAAGAGGAGCATTAACTGAAGGTTTCAGGTCCAATGCACAAGTCAATATTATCCCCATAGAAGAGAAGGTGAAAGATAGATGTAATGACTTCTCCAGGATCCCAGAGAGAGTTTGTGCCAGAGGTGTTTAGAGTGCCCAACCCTGGGTGTTCATCAGCAGTGATAGCTCTCTGCCAGCCACCAGCTGGTAGTCCAGAGAGAGCTGGTGGCAGCCCTCAGGTCATCAGTGGAACTCACAGTGCTGAAAATTCATGTGTAGCCTCCCTCCATCCCCCACTCCCCCCCAAAATATCAAGGGATATCCAGCTTCAGAAATCCCAGACTCAAGCAACTAATTCTAGGTGGCCCAGCAGGGACTGCAAATAACCTGCAGTTTTCAGGAAGACAAACTGTCAACCCAAGATGACCTCTGCAAGGAAATGGGCTAGAAGCTTCCTTTTTAAAACTGAGTGCTAAAATTAGCCTTGACATTTACAGAAGAGAACTGAAGCCTATGGACATCGCAGACCCCAATAGCCAACCCCGGGCTGCACTAGCAGGACCAGACAGCCATTCTCTAACCCTCTTTCCTTTGATCTACAGATGAATGGGACACCTGTGCCAGATCTGAAGGTGTTTGGCTTCTTGCTGCACACTCATCTGGCTGGGAGAGGACTGAAAGTTGTTCAGTACCGGTAAAAAAAATTGAATTCTCACTTCAGCTGGTCATGCCTGGGGTTCAATCTAATCCAGGGGACAGGGGAACCTTTCTGGGGTATAATGGAAGGAATAACCTTCTTGGACTAGACCCCATGTACCTGTCATGGTGAGAGACTATGGCTGGGTGTCCAACATTTTTCTGAATTGCAATGCAGAGAACTAAATCCTGGGGGATCAGACTCAACTCAATGGACAGCAAGATCCTGAGGGAGAATTTGAGCTGGACCCTTGCACAGGTGCACTAGGGCAGGGGAAGGTATAAGGAGCCTTCCCTCTCTTTTCTGTAAGAGCCAGATGCAAATGCAGTCCCTGTATTCTCCTGAGCTAGTCAGCCCAAGGGAAGGAGCTGTCTGGTATGGCCTTGCACCACTGGACAGCCAGCAGAGCTGGTTGGCCAGAGAGGGGAGTATCTGCTGAATCCCTCTAGGGGTGCATCCTCAGAAATCATTATGGGGAAACACAGGGCCACACCATCACCAGTCTACCAATGTGGGCTTGTGCCTGAGACTGTGAATTGAGCATTAAGCATTAAACTCTAGGCAACCTCCATAACAGGGGTGGGTAAACATCAATCTTTCTGTTGTAGTGGTATCAAAAATAGAGCTGGACCTTGAACCAAAATCCCAGATCCAAACCTGCTTAATGCCTGGGGACATTCTGCTTCAGGTCAGCTCCAAAATCTAAAGCACAGACCTATCTTCGGTCCAAAGTGTTTTACTTAGAACCTGGTGTAACAACCCAGAGTAATGTGAAAGAAGCTGAGCATCTACGGGACCCATGGGGAGAAAGTCTCAAACAAAGGCCTTCTTGGCTCTTGAGGCTACCTTGACATTTCACAGACATTTCACTAAGATCCTTAATTTGGAAAGAGTGAGATTTCCCATATGCAGAGGACCAGCACAAGATCTCTGCACCACAGAAGTACAGTTTAAGCCCTGTTTTGAGTATTTAAGTGGTGTGTAAGCCTTGTGTGGGTATCTGCCTCAGGTGAATTTCACCCAAGGGAGAAGACAGAGAGAGAGAGAGAGAAAGAGAGAGGATGGGTTGTAACTAATGACAGATGGATCCAATAAAGATTCAGAGTTTTTGTTAGGAGGCATGTTCAAATTGTATCCAAATGGACTACCAGAGATTGAGATTTTCCCTGCATTGGCACTGTAGCTGACCTGCAAGCTGGGTTCAGAGGTCATGAGACAGACCTGTGAATATAGGGATGTTTTAGTCTTGGTGGGTATCCCCCCTTCTAGCCTGAAAGTCTTATAGGAACAGTAGAGTTAGTCAGGAATTCTCCATGGAAAATTTGTTGATTTTTCATCAGGAAAACTAAACTAAATGCTTTAAGTGGGTTCAACATGAATCTAAATATTTCAGTTGAACGGATCCAAAAATTTCATGTCAAGTGAATTCAACATAAATTGTATTTCCCTAGTATGGCATATTGCCACATGGGAGCTGTAGTTGAGGTGCCTGATGACCCCATTCTCTCTTAAGGGCTGGGCTTCATGGCTGGACTAAATTTTCCATGATGCAATGCTGTCTCCCCTCTGCCTGAGCAGTGTGGTTTGTCATGGTGTTACCCCCAAAACAGATTTCAGGATACCCCGAGAATGGCCAACCTGTTATAACCATACCAATCCGTTCTCATTGGGTATTGGTCGCCAGGGTGGCTAAAGAAATACCTGGAGGACACAGATACAACCTTCCAATAAATGATTGACACAAGCAGTATTTTTTTTCCAAAACAAGGCACCTTTTATTGATGCAACCAATAATCCCTGACAAAATAGTAATCTAAACCACAAATCCCTTATAACAAGTTAAAGAGCACTCCAAACTATATTGCCTTACAGTTTAAAGTGATAAGTGGCTGCACCCTGCTTCATAGGGCTAATCTTCCACAGGTGGCTGACAGGAGCTCTTAGATATTATTTAAGTCTTACATATTTAAGTTCATTTACAACTAACACATATCTTTATTACCCCTGCGCCCCCCCCCCCCCATATATATATATTGTGACAGGGTCAGGCCAGATGGCTACAGATATATTAGTCCCAGAGTAAATAGATCCCTTTTCCCCGGGTAAGGTAACGGGGCAGTTCCAGAACAAGCAGGAACTTGCTGGAACCAGTTAGGACAGACTGGCTAATCAGGACACCTGGTATAAAAAGACTCTCACTCCAGTTAGTGAGGTATGTGTGTAAGGATCTGGGAGTGAGAGGACGTGCTGCTAGAGGACTGAGGAGTATAAGCATTAACAGACATCAGGAGGAAGGTCCTGTGGTGAGGCTAAAGAAGGTGTTGGGAGGAGGCCATGGGGAAGTAGCCCAGGGAGTTGTAGCTGTCGCACAGCTATTCCAGGATGCACTCTAGACAGCTGCAGTCCACAGGGCCCTGGAATGGAACCAGGAGTAGAGGGCAGGCTCGGGTTCCCCCCAAACCTCCCACTTGACCTGGACTGTGGGTTCTACCAGAGGGGAAGGTCTCTGGGCTGTTCTCCAACCCACATGGTGAATCTCTGAGGCAAGAAAATCCACCAAAAAGTGCACCAAGATAGAGGAAGAACTTTGTCACAACTAGTGTCGGTGGGATTTTGGTGTGCACAGTGTAGTGGAAGAAGGAGGGTGATTTAAAAAAAAGGAAGAGGGGTTATTTATTTTTTTTCACCACAATGGATGACGTAGTGTGGGCACTGATACAAGCCACGGCTGCCCAGCAGGAGGCTATCCGTGTCCAGGCAACAGCCCAACAGGAGGCAGTATGGCTGCAGCAAGAGACTAATCGCCTGCTCATGGACCAGGCTGCTCAGGACCGTGCTATGTTGCGGGAACTGGTAAACCAGGTAAAGACCCTTACAGAGCTGAACCGTGGCCATGATGGGACGCAGATCATACAGGCCAGCCATTGGCTGCAGAAAATGATGCAGGAGGATGATGTAGAGGCATACCTTCTGGCCTTTGAGAGGACAGTCCTACAGGAGGCTTGGCCTCGAGATCAGTGGTCTGGCATCCTCGCCCCATTCCTGTGTGGGGAGGCCCAGAAGGCCTACTATGATCTGCCTGAAGAGGCTGCATCAGACTACCCCCAGCTGAAAGCAGAGATCCTGGCCAGATCTGGGGTAACGACAGCAGTGCAGGCCCAACGGTATCACGAGTGGGGGTACCAGGAAAACAAAACCCCGCGGTCCCAATTGTATGACCTCATCCATCTTGCACGGAAGTGGTTGCAAACTGAGTCCCGGAGTCCAGAAAAGATACTAGAGGTTCTGGTCATCGACCGATACATGAGGGGGCTACCACCAGACCTTCGTGCCTGGGTAAGCCAGAACGAACCCTCCACCTATGATGAGGTTGTCGCACTGGTAGAGAGGCAAAGGACGGCGAGGGAGCTGACCCAACCAGTTAAGGAAGAGGCATCCCGGGTTAAACTAGCAGCACCAAGCTCTAGAGCTCAGGTGACTGGGCCACCAGGAGAGCCCAGGTGGAAAAAGAGTCAGAGTACTGAGGGAGAAGAGGATCAGGATGTTAGACTACCCAAACCAAGAGACCAGGGAATGCCTAGGGCTCCATACAGATGTTATGCCTGCGGGGAGTGGGGACACATAGCTGCACAGTGTCCCAATGCCGAGGAGCCTATGCAGTGTAACCTGGGGAACTGGGCAGATCCATGCTCCCTAATCCACCTTGTAGGGGTCTTGCTAACCCCACATATGTACACCAGACCAGTGAAACTAAATGGGGTAGAAACCACGGCCGTGGTTGATTCGGGGAGTGCTATCACGCTTATCTCAGGGAAGCTCGTGAAGTGTAGTCAGCTGCTGTGGGCTAAGCATACCGGGATAACATGTGTCCATGGGACAGTTGGTTATTACCCCACCATTCCAGATAAAATTGAAATCCAGGGGAACACTACTGTGGTAGCAGTAGGTGTAGTCCCTAAACTCCCATACCTGGTGCTCATAGGGAGGGACTTCCCAGGGTTTGGAGACTTACTCCCAGTAGGAGGATTGGAGAAAGAGGGGAACCCTGAAGTTAGTAAGGCATCCATAGTAGACTGTCAACCCCCAGTCTTCTCTGAAATATCCCCGGATTTGTTCTCCACTCCCAGACAGGGTAGAAAGACAAAAAGGGAAAGAAGGGCAGCTAAGGCCTTGGGAACCCAAATACTGACCCAAAGCCAGAAGGTCACTCTCGTAGATAGGCAAACCCGAGCAGCTGAAAAGGAGGCCGCCCAGGAGGGAGAAGCACCTGAGTCTGACCCCCACCCTAACGCCTCTGAACCAGTAGAGGCAACAGAGACTGGGCCTCTAGCTCTTGGGCAGATTAGCCCTCGGAGAGTAAATTTTGGACGGAACCAGGCTGAAGACCCAAGGTACGACAACATTAGGAAGGAGTTGACTGAAATAGTTGGGGTCCCCGTGGAAGGGAAAACCCAGGGACCAGGACCCTACTTCATAATGAAGAAGGATCTCTTATACCAGGTTGCACCAATACAGGGGCAGAAGGTACAGCAGATCCTAGTACCTCAAAAACACCAGAACGCTGTATTAAGTCTTGCCCATAGTCATCTTTTTGGGGGACATTTGGGAGTAGAGAAGATCCTGGCATGGGTCCTATGACGGTTCTCCTGGCCCGTGTACATGAAGAAGTGCGGAGGTACTGTGCCTCCACTTGAGGGCACCTTTAGTACCCCTTCCCATCATAGAGGTCCCCTTTGAGCGAATAGCGATGAACCTAGTGGGACCCCTGGAGAAGACAGCTCGGGGCCACCAATATATACTTGTTGTTTTGGACTATGCTACTCGCTACCCAGAAGCCGTCTCCCTGCAGAACACAGCCTCTAAAACAATAGCTAAAGATCTGGTGGGGATCTTTGCCCGAGTGGGGCTACCAAAGGAGATATTAACAGACCAAGGAACCCCATTTATGTCAAAGCTAATGAAGGACCTCTGTACGCTGCTCCATATTCACACCCTGAGAACTTCAGTCTATCATCCGCAGACCGATGGGCTGGTAGAAAGGTTTAACCGAACCCTCAAGGCTATGATAAGGAAGGTGATAAATCAGGACAGGAAGGATTGGGACACCCTACTATCTTACCTTATGTTCGCCATATGGGAGGTACCTCAGGCCTCAACTGGGTTTTCACCCTTTGAATCATTATATGGGTGCCACCCCCGTGGCATATTAGATATTGCCAAAGAGATCTGGGAAGAGGAACCCAATGAGGGGAGAAATATAATTGAACATGTATTGCAGATGCGAGACCGGATTGCCCGGGTCACCCCTATTGTACGGGAACATTTGGAAAAGGCGCAGGAGGCCCAGCGAACCCATTACAATTGCCAGGCAAAAGTCCGACAGTTCCAACCAGGGGATCGGGTGATGGTGTTGGTACCCACGGCAAAAAGCAAGCTTTTGGCCCAATAGCAGGGGCCCTGTGAGGTGGTTGGAACCCGGGGGGGGGGGGGGGGGGTAACCTACAAGGTGTGGCAGCCAGGACGCCGGAAACAGGAACAGATCTATCACATTAACCTCTTAAAGCCTTGGCACCAGTGAGAGGCATGTGTAGTGGTCCAAGAGACCCCGATCCAGGGAAATAACCTGCAGGAGCAGATCAGGATATCCACTGATCTGACACCAAACCAGAAGAAGGAAGTAACTGAGATGATCAACCGATACCAGGATGTGTTTTCAATCAAACCAGGCTGGACCACTGAAACATATTACAACATTATCACAGACCCTGTGGCAAAGGTAACTTTAAGGCCCTACCAGGTCCCAGCGACGAAAAGGGAGGAGATCAAGGTGGAGATAAAAAGGATGTTGGAGCTGGGAGTCATCGAAGAGTCCCACAATCAATGGTCGAGCCCAATTGTGTTGGTGCCCAAACCCGATGGCACTACTAGGCTTTGTAATGACTTTTGCCAGCTGAACGAGATATCCAAATTCGATGCATACCCCATACCCCGTATCGATGAGTTAGTTGACTGCCTGGGAAATGCCCGATTTTTGACCACCCTTGATTTAACAAAGGGATACTGGCAGATTCCCCTTGCCCAAGATGCGAAAGAAAAGAAGGCATTTTCTATCCCAGAGGGTCTATTTCAATATACTGTTCTTCCTTTTGGATTGCATGGGGCACCTGCCACCTTCCAGTGTCTTATGGACAAGGTCCTGCGGCCCCATCCCAGTTATGCAGCTGCGTATCTGGATGACGTGATTATTCATAGCCCCGACTGGGAGACCCATTTGAAAAAAGTGGAAGTGGTTCTGGACATGCTAAGACGGGCTGGCCTCACAGCCAATCCAGCCAAGTGTGCTATAGGGCTAGCTGAGGCTAAATACCGTGGCTACATTGTAGGAAGGGGCATGGTCAAGCCCCAACTAAACAAACTGGAGGCTATCCAAAATTGGCCTCGGCCAAATCGGAAAAAGCAAGTCCGGGCATTCCTGGGTGTGGTGGGGTACTACCGGTGATTTATTCCCCATTTTGCCACCAGAGCGAGTCCCCTGACAGAACTGATAAAAGCCTGGGGTCCAGACATGGTGAAGTGGACAGAGGCGGCAGAGAAAGCATTCACGGATCTACGGACAGCCCTCTGCAGTAACCCCGTGCTTATAGCCCCCAGACTTCAACAAAGAGTTTATTCTACAAACAGATGCATCTGAAGTAGGATTGGGAGCGGATGATTGGAGATGAAGAACACCCGATTCTCTACCTCAGCAGGAAACTCCTCCCGAGAGAGCAGAAGTATGCAGTGGTTGAGAGAGAGTGCCTTGCTGTAAAATGGGCCATGGAAACACTTTGGAATTACCTACTGGGACGACGGTATTACCCTTGTGACCGATCATGCACCCCTCCAGTGGATGCAGCGAAATAAAGAGAAGAATGCAAGGGTGACCAGATGGTTCCTGTCCCTACAACCTTTCCAATTCACCATACAACACGGGGCCGGAAGCCACCATGGCAACGCAGATGGCTTGTCGCGGGTACACTGCCTGACGTCCCAAGTTGCCCAACCCCATGGTGTTGAGGCGGGGGGGGGGGGAGGGGGGGG